AGACGGAACTTCCTCTGCTTCAGTTTGTCCCCATTGCCCCTTGTCCTGTCACTGGGAACCACTGGAAAGAGCTTGGCCCCATCCTCCTGACACCCCCACCGGGCAGGGGCTTGTCGCCGGCTCTGTTCGGGGGGCTGTGCCTTCCTGAACCGCAGGTCTTGGCTCCGAGATCAGCCCGGTTTGGGCTGCGGGGACAGAGGGGGCAGGGATGTTCCCACAGCCCGCGGCTTCCCGATGGCAGTTTTGCAGTGGGGGCAAATCACTCGGTGGGGCAGGTGAGTGACAACCAGAACCGGAGGGGCTGTGGCTGACGCCGCGGTCAACGAAACCGTGGTGCAGATGGCAGGCGCAGCAGTGCCTGCCCTCACAGGGACCCAGGGGAGAGGGCAGAGATGCGTCAGAGGCGATGCAATACATTTTTTTATTTTTATGAATAAAAGATGACTAACGCTAGATGAATCTCAAAAGATTTGGAGCTTCACGGAGCAGGGATGCTTGTTCCTACCTGTCTGACTCACCCTGCCCACCACAGCCATAGGACTTTGGAGAAGGGATAGTGCTCCTCAGCTTCCCGAGAGCGGCGTGCCGGACAGGCAAGGTCCACACAGCATTGGAGCATTCATCCTGCAGCGGTCCTACCTGCGGTAGCTTTCAGCTCCCGGGCTGCGAGCCGCTGGGCCAACACTGACCAGTTGTCTGCTTGGCATGGACCTCCTCAGCAGCTTAACAGTGCCACAGCCGAGCAGAGAGGAAAGCCAGCAAGGAGAAGAGAGGGAAGGGAACCTGGCTAGGAGAAAGTGTGATGCCTGCTGGGACTCTAACAAAGGCTCTCATTTTATCTTCTGATGTGCAAGTTCAGCTCCATTAAGTTTTCTCCATTTCTTGAATGCTGTTGTTTAAGTATGGCATTGCAACAAAACTACATGCTACGGTAAGATAACACACACAATTTTCTTAGTGAATAGCAGTATAATCTCATTTGATTAAACCCAACTAGATAGCACAATCTATGTATGTATGTGTTTAGGCAAGGCCTATGAATTTTAAGCCGTATCGCTTCCAGAATCACATATCCAATTATTGCAAAACTGCAAATCCTTGGGAACTGGCATCTAGCCAACACTAATGAAAAATATGTGTAGAAAATACTGTAAAAATGAAAGTGCTATACTTGTAGCATCGCTCCCCAAACTGGAAGAGCTGCGGACATCCTCTCTTTCAGGTATGCCTTTTGTTTTTTGGCTGTTGTAATTAAAAGGCACCTAAGCATGGACTTTGCTTTCCCATAAAGCAGGACATTTTTCTTGCGAACCCTCACTCTGTAACCCTTCTTCCAGAGACAGCCGTTCTTTAAGCATCTGTTAATTCAGGCTGTGGTGAGGTGGAAGGTTCTCCTCTGTCGCTAACTAAAGGAATTTTTTTAAGATGACCGTTACACCCATGGAAGGAAAACGAGGTAGTGCCATAAACTATGTTGAAAGTTGCACTGAGGTACCTGGGGATGCCCAGCGTGCAACGGAGCTGTGCAGGCGGTCACTGGGACGTCTCCCCAGGAGCATCGTGCTGGGGGGTTCGTCTTGGCTGGGGAGCATTGGCAGCTCAGGCAGCGAGCAGAGAGAGGGGACTGGCACAGCGTGCCGGGGGTCACCCAGCCGCTGGGAGAGGAGGAGTGAGAAGATGCTCACAACTTAAAATAACCTCAAAACAAAGAGGTGCCAGCTTAGAGGTTCACAGAGCTTGGTAGAAGCGATGCCAGTGGATATGTACATGGAAAGGCTGCTGTGAAAGGCCGGCGTGATGGTGGGAGAATGCTGGCTTGCTTTAGGCAAGGTGTTCATGTGGACTGTGACATTCCTCCAGCCTGGACTGCAAGAGCTGCGAGGTTCGGTGGTTCTGAAACAGGAGGTGCTGTCCCTGCCGCCCGCCATGGAGGACCACTGGCGGGTGAGCGACAGCTTAGACACGGAATGTCCCACTGACCCAGGCGTAGGGTAGACATATCCCAACGGGTGCGGGGTCTGCTTCCTGCTGGGCTGGGATTGTAGTGTTGTGCTGCTCATGGACTCGAAGCTGTGCTGCTGTGTGCTCCATGCCACTCTGCGCTGCTGAGCGGCACTGATCCAGCAGTCCCAATGCAGGTGGAGCCCTGGCAAGTGAGCTGCAGCTTACAAAGCTTTCGTGTTTGGCCAAAGGCGTTGCTGAATAACGAGACTTGATATAAACAGAGCATTGCTAAGGAGAAGTCGCACTGAAGGGCTCAGGCGTAGCTTTGCTTTGAGAAATACTGCAGAGCTGACAGCACGCGAGCAGACCGCAGAGTGGAAACTCTAACAAGGGGACTGACAATTTATAAAGATGCCTTTGGCCACGTACTAGGTTAAATGATGGGCCCTGATTCTGGTTTTGCCGATTTGCCTTTCATTAGTAAGTCACGCGGTTGCCATCCATGGGTACGTTCTCTGTGCTGTGGGCAGCAACTCCATGAGCGTCTGCACGGTGCCCTCGGTGCCGGTGCGCTTCGGCTCGGTGCGGGGTGCAGTGCCGTGGTGGGCCATTTCGTAAGGCTGAATCTGCAAGAAGAGATTTTTATGAGCAGAAAACTGTCTATTTTTTAAGATTTTGAAATGCAGTTATTATATTACAAAACCCTGCTGGTTTGGCAATTTTTGTCCTGAATTTGGAAATTAATTTCAAATTAGTTTGATCAAAAATGAATTAGAATCATAGAATCATAGAAAGTTTTGGGTCGGAAGGGACCCCTAGAGGTCATCTAGTCCAACCCCCCCTGCAGCGAGCAGGGGGGAATTATGATCAATCTACCTTAATAGGAAAAAATGAGACAGGCAGGTTGCTTCATACAATGAAAATATTTCAAACCATATTAATAGTATAAAAATGATTATTTGGGGAGAACTTTTACAACTTAATCTCATCCTTATTTTCTATTTTTAACCATTAATCAAAGCTTCTGGCTTGTTGGGAAATATAATAAGTCTTTATATCCCCCAAAGCTTTTAAATTATTCACTGTGCTTACTGTTCTCTTTCTGACAGGAGATTATAATTTTTAATTGGAAATTTTCTATTATTTGGGCCTGAAATGTTTGGAAGTCAAAGTGTAGCCTCAGATACTATTAATAGCAAATCTGATGAAGGTGGGGGATGTATGGAGGCTTTTTGTTGCAAATGTTTTAACCGAGTCAGCTGTGTGAACCGTGCTCGGAACACAGCACCAGACGGTAGAAGTCCTGCTTTTATTCTACAGTTTCTCTTCTTTTTCATTTCCAGACCCCCTGTCCTTACGCAGCCCCGTAGCAGGAACTTGGCCAACCTCTGGGCTTGTTTTCTTCATCAGAGACGTTCCATGGTGTCGGTGCCGCCATTGATTGTCATTAAAACACGTGCGGCGTGTCGCCGGGCGCAGTGCCGCGGGCTGCGCGTGGTCCATGCTCCTGGGCTGTCTGCAGCACGGTCCTGTCCTCAGCCTCAGCGCCTGCGCTTCAGCATCGGGGCCATCGCTGAGCCTCAGCAGTGGTAATTTGCTACCTCCTCCCTAGGTTGTTATTGATAAAAATGTTTAAAAGAATTCTAGAAGTCATTGATTTAAAGTGATTGGATCCCAGGCTTTCCTGGCTGATCTTTTCTGGACATTATTTGCATCAGTACAGGCTTGGGGTGGACCTGCTGGAGAGCAGCTCTGCAGAGAGGGAGCTGGGTGTCCTGGTGGACGACAGGTTGACCATGAGCCAGCAGCGTGCCCTGGCTGCCAAGAAGGCCAATGGCATCCTGGCGTGCATTACGAGGAGTGTGGCCAGCAGGACGAGGGAGGTTCTCCTCCCCCTCTACTCTGCCCTGGTGAGGCCCCATCTGGAGTACTGTGTCCAGTGATGGGCTCCCCAGTTCAAGAAAGATGAGGAGCTACTGGAGAGAGTCCAGCGGAGGGCTACGAGGATGAGGAGGGGACTGGAAGGCCCAGGCTGCCCAGGGAGGCTGTGGAGTCTCCTTCTCCGGAGATATTCAAGCCCCGTTTGGACAAGGTCCTGTGCAGCCTGCTCTGGGTGACCCTGCTTGGGCAGGGGGTTGGACTGGGTGACCCACAGAGGTCCCTTCCAACCCCTACCATTCTGTGTGATTATGTCTTACCTGCAAAGGCTTGCTCAAAAACTACTGAAATATTTGGTTTTCTTCTTTTCTTTTTTTTCCCCTTCCCATTTCAAAGTTAATCATTCCCGCCTTTCGGTCTGTTGGGTGCTCGAAGAAGCACAAGAAAGAAGAAGAAGAAGAAAAAAAAACCCTTCAGCTGCCAAACGCCTCATGAAATGCAGTTTGCGCTTGCTGAGGTGGGGGTAGGCAGGCTGAGCTCCTTGGGGTGCCGGTGCCCGGCCGGGGGTCCTCCGCCCGGCTGGCAGGGGCTGGCTGCTGGCCCTGCCCACCTCCCCACTCCCTGCAGAGGGTTTTCTGACGTCTCATCACCAAAGAAGCAACGACTGCATCAATCAGAGCTGCGAGACCACCGTTTGGGCACTCCCTCGCTTTCTGTAAGCGACGTAAATCAGATTGATTGAACACCATTTACTGTGAGGAAGGTGCAGTTGCTGCACGTAAGTAGGAGAATATAATAGCTGGGTGATCAGAACCATCCGAGGGAGTGAGAGGACAGGAAGCCTTAAAACTGGTCTCCTGAGCCACGTTTCTTCAGATCATTTTTATAGCCTGGAAATGACAGAGGAAGCTGTGCTTCATGTTAGCGGATTTTGCTAACGTTGCATTGTAACTTTAGCTTTTCATTCTTCTAATCGTCAATTTTTGCTTACAGTTGTTAAGCACGTGTGCGTTGATTTCAGATTATTATCTTAAAAGTAGTAAAATGTTTCTGGCAAGGATTCTAAAATACTTTGTTCTGAACTCAAAAGGCAAGAATTCTAAAATACTTTGTTCTGAACTCAAAAGGCTTTTCAGTTTCATACATACCACCAACACTCCGAGTAATTCTCCTAAAACTAAGTTAAACCTGAAAGGAACATCATCGCCTTAGGTCAGTCAGTCCACGTACTTCAGAAACCCCAAGATTTCTTTCTAGCAGATGTAGGACTGTGTCATATTCCCGGTGAGATAAGGAAGATCTTGGTTTTTAAGGAGAATTTACTACTCTCTTTGGCTGTAGGTTTGTACTGAGGTGGGGAGGAGAGTTCAGTCACAGCGGTCACCCTACGGCTCAGCGCAGATTAGGTCGAGTGCACGGGGTATCTCCTGTCTGTGAACGCGTCAGGGGTTCCTATGACTGCGCTTTTTTGACTAAATACTGTGTTGAATTATTTTGTGGCACAGGCTGGTTGTTCCATGCTTCGGATTAGTTGTTGCATTGTTGGTCTTGCAATGTAGTTTCAGTACGTGCTCTGAAACGTATTCCTAAAAATACACCTCGGGGATTTGTTTCTTCAAATATCCATAAGGAAACTCACTGACTAAGGCATCCGCAGAACGTACATGTACAAAGCACAGAACTTCATAAAAGTTAGAGCAGGTTTTTATGCAAACAAACACTTCTAGTTAAATTTTAAAATGTTGCCCTAGTTCTAGTAAGGGCAATAATTTATATGTTGAAGCTTACCTAAATATAACATGTATCTCAAATCTCTGTACGTAGAGTGCTGGAACCACACGTAGGAGAAGGCACAAGAATAACAGGATTTTTTTTTTCTTTGCTAATAAACATGCCACTTAACTGTGAAGTTAGACCTCTCTGTGCTTAAATCCAGCTAATTAAAGAAGTGTTAGTTGCATAAATACCTTGACAGGTCCTGATTATATTCCTACTAATTCCCCGTTTTCAGCAGTCCTATAGAAAGACTATAAGAACATGGAAGAAAATGTTGGTTTTACCCTGGAAAACATGAGGAATTAAAAAATTCAGTTACTGATTCAGTTCACATGGGTTGTTCTTCCTGGGAGAGACAAATATTCTGCCTTGGAGAATCAGTCTCTAGGAGCTGAGGAGTTAACAGTCAGGTACGGCCAACCAAAATCACAGCGGTGTATGAAATCTGAATTTTTATTTTTTTTTTTAACTTTATCCACTTTTATGTCTATTTCTTTCTTGCCTTTGAAAATTTGTGCCATTTTGGAGGAGGTTTTGCAGCGGTGCCTTGTTAGCAGAGTTCCCCAACCCCAGCAGAGTATCCTAGGAGGGGCCGTGTGCTTTTGCTGGGACACATGCTAACCTGAGCAGCAATTAGCCCTGGCTGCTGCCATCGCCGATCCCATGCCCGGGGTTACCAACCGCCGCGCTGACGATGCCTACAAATATCTGCAGGGCGGGCGTCAGGAGGATGGGGCCAGACTCTTTTCAGTGGTGCCCAGCGACAGGACAAGGGGCAACGGGCACAAACTGAAG